ACAAAAAGACTAATTGCCTCTTTCCTGAAATAAACCAACACTTGGGCTTTTCAAACTTTTAGCCAGTCGATCTGCCAAAGCACTTCCTGGGAATTCCCCAAACCATTAAATATAGTACAGTAGATGAAATAAGAGCTCTTATGTAACAAATTTTTATTTATTCATTATAGTCTGTTTCTTTCATTGAGATCTGGGATTTGGGGAATTTGTCAGAAATTCAGCTGTTCTTATGATCAGTTATAACAGGACTTTTACATCAGTATTGAATACCGGAGATGCCACAATCGAGCAGGACGGCTTGGTTAACAAACCAAAGATTTAGCTCACCATTGGTGTAGATGTTAATACGCTAAACTTTCTTTTGGCTGATCCCTTAGCTCCCAAGAGGCAAAGATTTTACATCTTCCTGATGCACCCATTGCTTCTTACCCCCAAACCTTGAACCCTTCTTGAGGTTGGTTGGTGTCTCCTACTGGAGTCAAACTGCAGATTTCTTACATGCAATGTAAAGATGTTAACCACTACACAACAGAGCCCTTATTAGACAGTATTTAGAAGGAAAAAAGTCAACACCAAATATTATGGATGGGAAGTTAATTTCATTTAATTTTATTCTAAATTCTGTTGTTGGCTTTGATCCATTATCAAAACAGAGTAATTCTGTTTCCTGCATGACACTGTTGTTGTGTCTTGCTTTTATAAAATTCTGAGTGGTTGACCTTGCAGGAAAGACTATTTGGGTCAACAAGATCAATTTAGAAGGAGTACAACATGCATAAACCCTCATTCGCTTTTCCCATTGATTATGTAAAATTTTCCAGGTTGGTTCTGCCTGAACCGCCCAAGTCGGCACCAAACAGACTTTTAGTGGTAAAACCTGCATCTGCCCTTGAAAGACGGCCTTTGCGGCTTAAAAAAAAACCAGAAAAAGAAATTGAATATTTTGGTATTCTAGCAGTTCATGGTCAAGTCGATGACTTCGAGGTGCCCGGGTCCAGTGTGGACCTGTGTGCACCAAATGTGGTGCTGTGCATCATGGCCAAACATCTACACTTTGGTCTCGTCCATCCAAAGAACATTGTTCCAGAATTCTTGTGGTTTGTTCAGATGCAGCTTTATAAACTGGTAGCAATGCTGTCATGTTCTTTTGAGAGAGAAGAAGCTGTGGAACTGTTTCCGTGAGCATTGCACGTTCTTTGGGGTGAATTTGATGGGACGTCCACTCCCGGAAGCATCAACAACCAGTAGAAGGATGAACTTTGGATTGTTTGGAAATCGCCTAATAACCTTTTATTATGATGCTTCTCTAAGATCACTGATGACTTCTTTCCTTCTTGGCACTTTGTTAAAACAAACCTGAATTCTCCAGAGCTGCAGACTGTAGTAATGGTGTGCGTACTACAGTACATCCTTCTGCACTTTGGCTTCTGCATTTTGATTTGCTTCTACATTTTGGCTTAATTTTTGTTAAATAAATAAATAATAGTGTCATATGTCATGTTTGTAGTTCCGCTGAAGATTTATTCACCTCATTTTAAGAGCTTCTGAGCATAAGATGATTTATTATTATTATTTACTGATATGTATATATACTTACCGTGACTGTATGAATGAGCATCCTAATATTTTTCAGCTATGTATATTAAGGATGAACCAAAGAAACCAATTCCATGACTAACTGCATGACACAGATAACCTTCCCAGCATGCCAGCTATATTTAAATACAACATGAAGTGAAATTCAAACACAGCGAGAGCAGGATGGAAATAGAGAAGGGAAAGATGGATAGACAGAGAGACCACCCACCACGCCAGTAATTGATTGCTGTGTCAACTGTGTTTGACATCACTGCTCTTTAGAAGCAGGATCAGAGCATCGTGCACATGTACCCAGGCACACTAACAGAATACCCAGAGGTACACGGAGCAGGACAGGCATGACTAATCAATCGTCTTCGCAGCAGGAGTCGACAGGCTGATGAGGGGATTAAAGAGCTACCCCCCTTAAGACTCAAGATTCATCTGTAGCAGCAGTGTTACACATCCACACCTCGTGAAATCATACATGAGAAACATGCACATGGCTTCTTACTGTTACTTCCCCCAACTACTCCTTTAAGAAAAATTAGCCAACCACAGCCAAGCAGATGCACACACACTTTCCCGAGAGTGTGTTTCTCGAGAGTAGAACATTTAAAGTTTGCTGATAAGGTGAAAATTGAGAAAGAGACAGTCATTATTGGTTTTATGCAAAAATCAATAAGCCAACAGACAGAGCCCGACATCTGCTGTGTCACAATTTAAACTGTTTACGAAAAAAACAAAGCATCATAGCTCAAAACACGTCCAAAAGCAATTCAAATCCATCATAGGAACTGAAGCTGTAATTAAAAAACAGCCAACAAGATCACTCAACGAGAGGATTTAGACAGTGAAACGCTTAAAATAACTAATAAACTGCTGATTGTTTTAGCAGCACATCAGCTTTACTCACAGCAGAGCAGAACGGGGCGTTTCCCCTTTTTCTTCTCTAAACCAATGTGCTGGAAAGAAATCCTGATCCCAGGCGCACACAATGCTACAAGCAGAAAGAAGTCCCAGTCTTCCCAGAAAAGAGCCTGTTATTACAAATAAATTAAATTACTTGAGGAGCTTAAATAAGACCCATGTCCTTATTTTTACCTTTCATCTCTAACAGTGTTTGCATGAGTTACACTAAAAAAAATTGTCTTTATTCGTCCCTCGCTCTCCTGCTTTTTGCAAACATTCTTCTGATTGGCTGACGTTGGCAAACAGAAGGTAGGTGGGGCTTCTCCACTCAAGGACAGACCCATGTGCTGGAGATGATACACACTTTCTGACATCACACAGAGCCGAGAATAGAAAAGCACTCTCTACCTGGGAGCTTTTTATGAACAACCACAAACATTTCTGCAGTGTAACAACAATGGAAACCACAACAGGACCACTCTAAAAAGATTATTTAATGTTTTCTTCTCATTACTGATTTGGTCCTTTAAGCTCAACTCATTCATTTGAAACGTTATACGAGATGAGACATAGCGTGGCAACAAAGAAGAAGAACACTGTGGAAAACACTCACGCATCTCAGAGACCTTCACCGTCACAGGGTTGGATGTCTTCTCCGCTGTCATGTACCACCTCCGTCCTTCTTTATTGATGAACGCTCGGACGCGGCAGGTGTAGTTCCCTCCGTTTTCAATGGTCACCCCCCTCACCCCCAACCTGTAGTCGCCGGTTTCTGTTCGCTCCAGGCTCGCCTCCCCAGTTTTTCCTCGCGCTCCGCTTGAGGATGTGTTTGAGATCACCACCCCGCTGCGATCCATGGTGATGATTTCACGGCCGTCGGCCAGCCAGGACACTTCCAGGGAGAGGGCGGGCAGGTTGTCGGCGGTGACGCCGCACATCAGGGTCAGCGAGTTGCCAGGAGAGAGGACGAGAGAGGTGGAGGAGGGAGAGGAGGAGGGTGAGGCCTTCACGTTGAGGGAACGACCTTGAGAGGACAGACATGGCGTCAGTCAATGAATCCTAAGAAAACACTGCATGAAGACAATAAAATGCTTCAAGTCTGTCCTCGCACTGACCCAACCCACCAAAAAACATCTCATGACTCTTTATGAATTGAGACTTCATGTACTGAAGCATAATGAGCATTTTCATGTTAACAACTAGTCAGACACAACAGGAAAAGACACAGATTCTGTCAAATGAGGCGTTTCCTACATCCACACATCAACTCAGGTAGCCTTGTTTCTTCATAGATCAACGATGCGATTGATCGACTAGTTTTCCTCCAACAGCTGGATGACTAACTTGTGAAGATCGGCTTTCATGTGTCACTACACTGAGCTCGCCGATGCTGCAGGGCAGAACAACGTCTGCAACTGCACGTCAGGGTGGTAATGTGAGCCGGGGCAACTCGCAGGAGAGGCAGCTAATTAATGCGCAGTTATTTCTTTAAAGAGTACGCGTAGTATTATTGATTATTCCTTTAAGTAAACAAGGTGCCCATGCCTGCAAATACAATCAAACTGTGGGAAACACAAACCAGCTGGGCGGTGACAGCACACATAAGCACAAAGTCCCATTCAAAGCCAAAAACACTCCACCTGTGACTCATTTAGTACGACAGATATATGAATAAGCAAATTGGCCAACTGGCTGATTCTAATCTTAACGAAAGCGGGAAGTGCTATTATTGTTCG